GAAGAAGTAAAAGGGCTAGAAAAGCAAAAACCTATGGTTCAAATTTCTTCATATTAACAAAGTCATTGAATGAAGGGATACAATGTTTCAATAAGAAAGGTTCAATCCAATCCTTAAACCCAATGGCGTTTCTCATTCCGTTGAGAAAACAAATTAAGAGGAGAATGTTTCTAATGGCACTAACTTAGAAGAAATAGAACTTAGAAGAAGTAAAAGGGTTAGAAAAGCAAAAACCTATGGTTCAAATTTCTTCATGTTTCTTGTTGAGGGGTTGAAGGAAGAAATAGAAAATTATTCATCTGTTTGTTTTAATTTAAAAAATGATATTGAAATATCTAAGAAGGCTATGAAGTCTCAAGATGCAATTTTTTTGGAAAAAGGCTATATAAGATGAAATAGATAATATAACTTGGAAATTAGTTGATCTCCCACCTAGTTCTAAATCTATTGGTTGTAAATGCATTTTCAAAAAGAATTTGAAAGTAGATAGATTTATAGATAAGTTTAATGCACGGTTGGTTGCTAAGTGCATTACACAAAACGAAAGAATAAACTATTTTGATATATATGTACTAGTTACAAAGGTTTCCACAATCGGAGCACTAATAGCACTCACTTCCACATACAATCTTGTTATCCATCAAATGTATATTAAAACAGTTTTTCTTAATGGAGAGTTGGAAGACGAGGTGTGTATGATACAACCAGAAAGATTTGTGGTCCTTGGTTAAGAACATAAGGTGTGTTAGTTAATTAAGTCTCTTTATAGACTTAAGCAAGCCATTGAGCAATGGTATAAAAAATTTAATGAGGTAGTTCTAGCAAATACATACAAAATCAATAAACCTGACAAATGTGTTTATAGTAAGTTTGGTAATGGGAAAGGTGTCATGATTTTTTTTTGTATGTAGATGGCATGTTAATTTTTGGCATAATTTGAATAAAGTAAATAAAACAAAGAAATTCTTGTCTGCAAGTTTAACATGAAAGATATGGGAAAAGAAGATGTCATATTAGGAATTAATAGGGATAATAATTGTTTTGGTTTTTTCCAATCTCATTACATTGAGAAAATATTAAAGAAGTTTAATTGTCTTGATTGTTGTCCTCTTTTGCTCCATGTGATTTTAGTATAAAATTAGTACCAAACAAAGGTTATCCTGTGAAACAACATGATTATTTAAAGATAATTGGATGCTTGATGTATGCCATGACATGTACAAGACCAGGTATAGCATATGTTGTAGGAAGGTTAAGTAGATACACAAGCAATCCAAGTTAAAATCCTTGGCATGCTATGGATAGAGTACTAAGGTACTCAAAAGAAACAGTCAACTATAGTTTAACCTATAGTGGTAATCCTTCAATTTTGCAAGGTTATATAGATTCCAGTTGGATAAGTTATTCAAAAGATCATGCTTCCACAAGTGGATGAGTCTTTACTTTAGATGGGGTGCTGTTTCTTGGGGATCTAAGAAATGAACTTGTATTATAGACTCTACCACAGATTCTGAGTTTATAGCATTGGCTGCAAGTAGCAAGGAAGTAGAGTGGCTTAGAAACTTGTTACTTGGAATTCCTATATTGCTCAAGCCAATTGCATCATTATTATCCATTGTGATAGTCAGTTTACTCTTTTAAGGGCTTATAGCCAAATTTATAATGGAAATCATGACATATTGGATTGAGACATAGTTCTGTGAAATATTTATTTATGATGTAGTAATCTCCATAATTTATATAAGATCAGAATTAAATCTTGCAGATCCTTTGATGAAAGGTCTACTGAAAACATCAAAGGGGATGGGATTGAAACCCTATAAATCCTGATCACCGATAGTGGAAACCCAACTCACACTTGATCATCATATCAAATCTTGAGTTCAATGGTGAAAGTATGTTGTTAGAGTGATTGCAAGTACTTGACATGTTTATACATCCCAAGGTTGAAAAGTACTTGGTAATCATGAGATTTAAAAGGGAAAGGTTTAGCTTTAATTTGTCTCTTAATAGACCTGTAAGCATATATTTACTGGAACATTAATCATGATGGTGCTCTTAACAGAGTCTACATATGTAAGAGTGAAGTGAGGCCGCTTTTAGGAGTTTAAGGGCTTGACTCTGAAAACTCTTCATGAAAAGGGCAGGGACACATGACCATAAAAGTGTCATTTTAAGTGGCATACAATTATTCGAGATCCCATACGTGAGTCATGCACACGTGTTCATATGGGATAAATAGTTCAAAGCTTAGCCTACTATATTATTTTAGATGGGTGAAATCATGTCTTATTTAGGCAAAGATTTAAATACTTGAGATATCTTTACTGAGAACATAAGATTTCTAAAGTGATAAGAGTTTGGGTTCATTTTAAAAATGGTGGAGATTGTTGAAATATTTTTAAAATGAAGAGATGCGTTTTTGAAAAGTCATGTCCTTATGTAAATTTATTAAATTAATAAATTTATATGAGGGGTTATGTCTTCATATAAATTAATAAAGTTATTTAAATGGTTGTGTTTCCATATAAATAAATATATTTATATGAGGGATTGTGTCTTCATACAAATTAATATATGTATATGAAGGGTTACGTAAGAAGTTACAATACTAAAAGACCCTGCTTATTGAATATATTTTATTTATTTAAATTATGTCAGTTCATGAACCAATATATTGTTATAACTTTTTATTTAATAAGATATTATTTCAAAAGATATCTCTTGAAGGTATTATTCCGTGATCTATATAAACCCCTTACCATCACTTCATTTGAACACAAACACAAAGATCAAACTCATTGTCTCTGTCTTTGAGTGCAAATAGTGATAGAGTCAAATCATCACTTTGTAAAAGCCATTGTTGTCTTCACTTGAATTTTAGAAGTCCAATCCATATTCAATAATCTTTATTATATCTTGAAGAAAATTTTCTAGTCAATCCAACTTGCATCATATAAGATACAAATAGATAGGGGTGAATTAAGCCTAAAGAAAAGTGTTGCCTATGCCTTGAAAATATTGTGCACCACTTTCTTCTTAATCTCTTACTCTTATACTCTTCGGAGAACTATTCTTGCTAACATGTTTTAAGACTTTAATTTTCCTAGGTCTGAATTGTTAATAAAAATTGTTGTTAAAGAATCAACTTTTGTTAATTCTTATTCGTTTTACGTAATATCTAAAGAATTATTATCATCCACTTCAAGTTTTAGGACTTTAATTTTATACAAATGTGAACTATTAATAGAAGTTGTTATTGAGAAATCAATTTTTGTTAATAACTTATTTATTTTAGGTAATACTTAAAAAATTGTCATCATTCACTTTTATATTTTAAGGAAACAGTGTCTTTTACTAATATTTTAATAATCTAAATTAGTCACCCACCTTGATATGATATTATGCAAATTCAGTTTCCTAATTTGTCGTTTATATATTTTGAAGGTCGTTTGTGGGATTTTTCCTTAATTTTTTCATCAGACAAAAATTAAAAATTAATTTACACATGTGATATATATAATTTATTCCACTATATATGCATAGACAAGGTAGATTGAAGAGGAGCGTCGCACACTGATGTTTCTTTTTTCTTTTTTGGGAATACAATAATCCGTTGCTAAAAAATGCTTTTTGCTCACTCATTTTTCCTTTCTCCAACATTCACGATAATCAGCTCTTGTCTTGGCTTATAATCTGGATGGATGATATTTGGCTAATAAATTAGTTTCCATTTGCAAAAATTCTTGGCTTTTAGTTCTCGTATGGATAAATGCTAATGGTCAAGTGTGAGTATAAAGTAAGAATAAAAGTTTTTCCTGATCCTATTTGTAAATTATCTCATTAAATTTTTAATATGAATGTACTATTTTATTATTTACTTATTATATAGTGAAGATAATTATTTTTTTTAAAATTTATATATTAAATGGAAGTAAAATTGAAAAGTTGTTATATTTTAAGGAAGAGTTTATGTATTTTAGTATTTTTCTTAATTTATGTAAACATGTTGGAAACGCCTTATAAATAATATTAGAGGGGTATGTTCTTTTCATTGTCTTGGTCACAATTCGTTGGAACATACTACTCTCTTCATTCTCTTTTATAATTTTCTTTTATAAAAAACAATTATCGCATATGATTTTTTTTTTCTATTTAAGTATTTATAAGAAACATAGATAGTTTGGACCTTCATCTCTCAAAACAAAGATTACTAGCTTCTTAGATAAAAAGCCAATTAACTAGTTTAAATATAGAGAAATTAGTTTTTTGCCATTATTGTCCGTATTGGTTGCCTTTAAATGCCTCTCAGTCTAATCATCTATATTGAAAAATACCATTGCGCAATTTAAAAAATGTCAGTACGTGCGTGGTAAGATTATACATATTGTCAATTCAAAATTATATAAGAATATAACACTAACCATGAGAATTAGTAAATTTTATTTATATTAATAATAAAAGGAACATGTTACTCTTACATAGTTATGTATTTTGTAGCTCAAACCTTACATGGAAATAAAGGACAAAAATAAATAATTTACAACAAAAACATAAAAAGCGAATTGATGTAATTACAAAATTTAGTTAGAGATATTCTGATATTAATTTTTTCTTTAAACATTTGAATCGTTTTTGGTTATACCTTTGTCCCCCCTCCCCCGAGGTTCAGAAGGCTGTTCAACTTTACCAATAAAGGCTAGGACTCTGACTTGATAATTTATTGGTCCCTATCAAAAATTAAACCCCTGAAATTAAGCTCATTTGCCAAACCCTTTTCGAACTTGATTAAATTACAGCTAGGACCAACACAAGTAAAAGAGACTTGAGCACTTTAAACATCATGTCTCGGGTTCGATTATCAGAATGGTATATATGGAAAAAAACATTATTGGGAGGGGTTTCCCCTACGGCCTTTAACAGTATCCCAAAATATTAGTTTCTCATCATTTAGGTGAAAGGATACTCTGAACAACCAAAAAAACAAATTACAGCGAGGATTCCAAAATCTTATCCGCTCCTCATTTTCAGCATGTTTTCCTCATGCTGCAATGATGATCAAGGCTTTCAACCATACATCATGCTTGCGTTTGAACTTTGAACAGTTCCCAAAAAGTGCTATGGCCTGTGGTCATTAAAATGGAAAAGAATGCTTTGATTTTGAATTTTAAAACTTGAAAAATGTAGGGAAAGAAAAAGAAAGCAATACGCAGTCCGAGATAGGGCAAACAGTGTTCATAGAGCTTGAATGAAGCCGGGGCTACAGCAGAATGTATTCTAAAGGTTATATTGATTCCCAATGGCATTCATCACCTTTTCCACCAGAGAAACTTGAAAATTGCAAATCCATTGCTACAGCTCCCAAACGAGAGGGTATATAAAAATTTAGCCCTTGCTTTGCATGCAGAATAAAAAGGACAAGAGATTCTCATTGGATCCTACTCATGCCTGGCTATATGCATTTTGCTTCTACTTTCCATCAGTTACCAATAGTCTTTGCAAGAACAATAACCATCCTTGAAGTGATGAAATCTATTAGCATCCCTCAAAATAATCTCCCTTCCAGTTACTTTTGCAATTAATTTGATTGCAGAATGGCAATCACCACAAACCCGTAAATTTTTCATTACCCGGATCCGCATTCCTTGGGGCACTTTTAAAAGTCCATATGCTACGGCCAATTTTTCACTATGATAACCTAAGCTATGAGCCTTCTCTTCCTCATCCACATCATGAAGCACAAAGCTACGATCGGGACAGTAGCCAGCTTCCATTATCAATCCACCTAACCTTTCCAACATTTTCATTATAGAATGTTGCTCGGGGTGGCCTTTGCTATCTCCCCCAGTGAACATATGCACCTTCTTCTCCACCTCAATCCAACTACAGCCAGGTGATTTGCTGACATTCATAGCTCTAATTTTTTTCCTGAGGATCTCAACATGCCCCCATCTTCCTCTAGATGCATAGAGATTGGAAAGCAAGACATAAGGCCCAGAATTTTTGGGTTCAAGCTCTGTTAGTTTCTGCACGGCAACTTCAGCCACATCAATATCCATATGGATTTTGCATGCACCGAGCAATGCACCCCAAATAATAGCATCTGCTTCCATTGGCATGCTTTCTATTAGCTTCATTGCATCATTTACCTTGCCTGCTCTGCCAAGTAAATCAACCATGCAAGCATAATGTTCTATTCCTGGCTCCACTTGATATATGCTTTTCATTGTTTCAAAGAATTCAAGTCCTTGTTTCACCTTTCCACAATAACCACAAGCTGAAAGAACCCCAACAAAGGTTACATTATCTGGTGAAACTCCAGAGGAACACATTTCATTGAAAACATCTAAAGCTTCTTCTCCCAAACCATGTTGAGCATAACCTGTGATCATAGAGTTCCACATGACAACATCCTTAAAAGCAAACATTTTGAATATAAGGTTTGCTTTCATAAGATCACCACATTTAACATACATCGTAATCAAAACTGAGGCAACATATAAATCATGATCAAATTGGGATTTGACCAACTGAGCATGAACCTCTCTACCATAATCAAGACTAGCAAGACTGGCACAAACAGAAAGAACACTGATCAAAGACGGGAAGCTCAGCCCAACCCCTTCTCTTTGCATCCGTATAAACATGTTTAGGGCTTTCAACTCAAATCCTTTTCGCTCATAAACTTTAATTATTGCACTCCATGTTCCATCGTCCCTCTCCCTCATTTGTTCAAAAACCTGTCTTGCTTTGGCCACCTCCCCACTGAGACCAAAAGCCATGATCATTTCATTACAAGCAACAATTGACTTTAGTGGCATAGCATCAAAAAGCTCTGAAGCCTCTTCAATCCGCCCACAGTGAGTGTAACCCATTATCATAACTGTCCAAGACACCTCATTTTTTTCAGGCATCACTTCAAAGAGCTTCCGACCAATGTCCACCTGCTGATAACGACCATACCCCGAAATCATTGTCGTCCAAGTAATGATATTCCTTTTTGGCATTTCATCAAACAGTTGGCGAGCTTCAGCCAACCGGCCTTGTTCACAATATCCTCCAATCATATTAGTTATAGCCACTACATCTTTTACAGGCATGGTGTCAAACAACTTGCGTGCATCTTTAAGCCGACCTCCTTGTAGCAATCCACCCAACATTACTGTCCATGACACCACATTCTTTTCAGGCATATGCCAGAAAAGTGATTCTGCCTCTACAATCATACCTTGTTGCACGTAGCCCCTAACCATTGCAGTCCACGAAACAACATTTCTCTCAGGCATCATATTAAATATTTCCCTTGCTTCATTAATCATCCCATTTTTTACGTATCCAGAAATCATACCATTCCAAGAAATTTTATTCTTCTCGGGCATCCTTTCAAATAGAAATTTGGCTTCATGAGGCTGATTGTTCTGGAAGTACCCAGAAATGATGGCATTCCAAGAAGCAATGCTTCTTTCATGCATTTGATCAAACACCCTTCGAGCATTCTCAATTTGGCCAGTGCGAGAGTACCTCGCTATCAAGGAATTCAATGAAATTGCCGCACCAGTGCAGTATAATCTGCAAGCGCTGAAGATTACGCGCATAGATGAACGCCACAAGGTTGCAGAACTAATGCGAATATCATGCCACAAAGGATTGGTCTTTTGTGGTCCAACTTCTTTACTAACGAGCTATCAAATGTTAAGCTTTATACTAAGAAAAGATGGTCTACAAATTAAAGATTCAACCAAGAGATGTTTCACGAAGCTTAGATGACGAAGAAAACCTTTGGAAAATCTGCGACGCCCCTTTCCTCTTCTTCTAGCTCCGTTCCGAGGCTCTCCTCTTGTTCCTTTCGCTTAGCGTAGTCCCAACTCCAATGTTCGTATACCAAGCAAAAGGCGAGAGATAGATCGAGTGTAACCTCCCCACCCCCCCCCCCCCAAAAAAAAAACACTCTGTTTCGTTATAAGCGGGGCTTGGCACGTTGTTGGCTTGCTGAGCTCCGGAAGACCGAAACGCCGAGTCGCCGACCGAGGAAGGAGCAAAACGAAGGGAGAAATTCTCAAATACACTACGTGTACCTTTGACTAATAAAATTATAACACGTGATGTATTTTATCCTATGTGTAATCCTACCTGTAACTGCTCCCTCTCTCTACCATTTTAATTATTTTTTTAGGAAACTGTGCTTCTTTTATCTCTCTCTTCTGCAATAACTTTCTGAAAATTCCTCTCCTTCTTACTACCCGCTCCTTCCATCTCTCTTTCGTCTTTCCCTCAACCTCCACACTCCCATTCCCCCTTCGTTTTCATACATCACATCTCTAACAGGCCACAAGTTTCTCTCCCTTTATGATATTTTTAGATCGGATGCAAAGTCGCATCCTATTCCTCTACTTTATTTTCGGATCAAAGAAACTCTCACGAGCAAAAGCCACCGGCGACATGCGGCTACCTATGGAGGGCCTCTTGCTGAGACAAGAGCCAACACAGCCAGTGGAGATGTTCAGGACACAGCAAAAGGTCAACAAAATGTGTTTGCAAAAGAATGAGAGGGATGGAAAGAAAGGGGTAAAGGAAAAGGAGAGAGGGATGTGGAGGTTGGGGTTGGGGGGAAGGCGGAAGAGATAGAAGGAGCGGGTAGTAAGAGGAAGGAGGAGTATTGCCCGCGGGGAGGAAAAAGAAGCACATTTTTTTATTTTCCAAAAAATAATTGAAATAATAGAGGAAGGGAGGAGTTACACACAGGCTTACACATAAGATAAAAATACTCCATCTGTCATAATTTTATTAGTCAAAGCATAGATGAGGTGGTGCACCCAGTATATGTAAGAATTTCTCGAAGGAAGGAGGAAAACTATGAATCAATTTTTTTCTGTCAATTTTCTTAATTTTATTTTTAGTTCCTTGAAAATTAATCTACAAATTTAAATGTGACCCCTTATACAAGGATATATTTTGTTATTATTTATTTTGAGTAAAGATACATTCAAAAGATATTTTTTTAAATGCATCTAATATTCCAAAGTATATATTGATGCGTCCAACACCTTGAGGTATTTTTTTAAATGCATCTAGAACTCTAAAATATTTTTTGTGCAATCTTACACTTGGCAATTCGGGCTATTAGATGCATAAAAAAATCAAGATACTAAATGCATTTAAAAAATATTTTGGACTGTTAGATGCACCAAAATATAATTTACAGTGTTAAATGCATATAAAAAAATTCAGGGATAGACAAAAGTTTCGTCTTTGGTTTCTTCACCATGTGATTAATCATATCACTCGTGCAAACCCACCCATTGAGGAGAGAGAAGAGGATAAATTTTTTCTAGAGGCCATCCACTGATGGTCACTTTATTGTTAAATCTGCATATCATTTTCTCTTTACAAACACTCAAGGGATAGGGAAGTATTAGAGAAAATCAAATCTTAACTCACGGACGACCGCACACAACTTTGTTGAGGGTACAAAGAGGCATTGCATATGATGTGACGTGCCTGTTTGGTTGTACAAATGAGGAAGATTCTATGCATCTAATTAGGGATGGCTCGAATGCTCATCACCAATGACAATTAGTCGTGCCCCATGATGTACGCAAACGTTTTTGTTCTAAACAAGAAAGCTTTGGAATGGATCAAATGGAACCTAAACATGAAGTTGGTCAACCTTTCACCAAGAAGATCCAAGGGGCAACCTCATTTGGCTCCCTTTGTTAGGATATCTGGGTCTTAATATGTAAGAGATTGTTTGATCCTACTGATATGATGATTTGTAGTAATGCTCATGATAGTTTTTTTTTTAGGGCTTGTTGGGATAAGAACTTAATGTCCTCCTACAATTTTTACTCAAGATCTTCTTCTAGTTTTGTAAACACCAATTACATCCATGATGATCATGCGAAGTGTTTGTGGAGGAGTAGTGTGGGATAAAGAAAGAAGTTGGCTTCAAGGTTTTAGTTGCAAATTAACTTGTGTTCACTAGCGATTGAGAAGTTAATTAGATTCATACATGGACTCCAATTATGTTGGTTAAAAGGCTATAGGCATATTGTTCTTCACAGTAATTGTATTGAAGCTCCATCCCTTTTCTGTAGAGCTTGTGACATCAGCAACTCATTCAGAAACATTATAGATGAAGCTAGGTTATTATTACATAAGGATTGGCATAATATGGTTCTTCAACATTTTCATTGCTGAGGATAACTTTTGTATCTTAGATTAACCTCTTTCCAACTTACAAGGAGGGCTTGATAGAGGCGACTAGGTTCTTTTGTTGTTTTTGTGTGTTACTCCTTTGTTTAATGTAATTCAGTTTTTTATTCAAAAAAAATATTTTAAGGTGTTGAATGCAATACAAAATAATTTAAGATTTTAAATGCAGCTAAAGATATGGATGCTCATTACCTTAACCATGTATTTTTGTTTCATTTTTGAAGACTAAAAGTAAAACCATGTAAATGATAATTTGTGAGAGAAATAGTAAGGAATAAAATGATTAAGATTTGCCCAAAAACTCTTTAAGACAAATACGGTCACACAAAAAAATTCTCACTCTACGCCATTTCCTCTCTCTCTATCCCTTCTTAGCATTGTTAACATTTATCAAGGAAAAAAAAAAATTGGACCTGACCGACCGGTTCAACTAACCTATGATCCGATATGGGTTCAGGGTTAAACTAGCCAAGGATTAAACCAATATCAACCCAGTTAAACTAGTAAAAACTAATATAAACTGGTTTTAATGATTATGTTACTATAGGTTCTATTTTTTCCCCTCATTTAGCTCTCAGTATCTCAATCATTATAGATATGAATAAACTTTAATGATAATTTTGGTATCAATGACTATTAATTTTAGTTATTGAGAAATCATAAAGATGAAAATTCTCTATATTGTTGTATTTTCTTATATTATATTATTAGTGATTATTAATGTTATTGTATTTTATTATTTTTAATTAAATTATACTATTTTAATATGACTGATTTGACCTGAACTGACCTTGTTGTCATTTTTACAGTGGTCCATGTTGGCACTGGCACATATTGGCTGCTCAGTGAAGAAGAATTGCTACAATAATATAACTGTGGAATTGAAACATTACCACTCACAGTGTCCTCAATGGCCAAAATAAGCTAAGCAAAATGGTACCTCTATCGTACATCATTTCCTCTTTTTCAAGCACTTCATTGTTGTCGGTCAATCACGCAGACACAAAATAGAGAGGGAGAGAGAATGTGAGGGAAACAAGATAAGAACTCTAACTCAGCATAGTTCCAAATCGTAGCTTTTGAATTTTGTAGTTTCAAAAGAACTTATCCTTTGTTCAGCGATTTAAGTTCTAATTAACGTCATTAAGTATTAGGCTAGATGAATCTTGATTTTGATTCTCATACTTTTACTACATCTGGTTCTAATTATAAGACCTTATTTATAAACTATAAATTAAATGAGATCTTATAATTAATACCGAAGATAGTAATAAATTTTGATTTTGATATCTATATTTAACGGCATTAACTTAGTATCGAAGACCGATTGCCTTATCATGTTGATCATGACAATTTTAACACTATCATCTTTAATGATCTACCTCCGAGATGTAGAGATTTTTGTCAACAAACATAACCTGACTTGTGTCTTATTGCACGGTTTTCACCCTCGTTTTTGTGTTAGAAAAACAAAAAATAGATGCATTGTAATTTTTTCTTAAAAAACAAAAATATGTTGAGCAGTTTTATTTCTAGCTCAATTTAAATTAATGACGTCCTTTTTATTTTTGGTCAAATTTTATGATCCAATTATCACACTACAAAAAAATATGTATTTTCTAACAGTTAAATTATGACGTTTCTAGTAATTTTAACCGCAATAAATGACATTTGTAGCAGTTACACAAGCCGCTAGAAAATCAAGTGTAAGAAACAGTTTTTTAATGGTTAAGGAAACCACTACATAGTATGGTTAAAATGTCAAAAAATTTCTAGCAGTTATACTAACTGCTTAAAAAAACAAACAGGTGCAAGAGAATGTGAGACATTTGTAACGGTTTAAAATCGTTAGAAACTTTGTCAAAATACTTGAACTGCTAGAAAGTTGTGGATGAAATTACATTTTGTCAGGAAACGAAATTTTCATATTGGTGCAAAAAATTTCTAACGGTTGCTAACTACTAGAAAGTTTTGGATGAAATTACATTTTGCCGGGAAATGAAATTTTCAAATTGGCAGCAAAACTTTCTAGCGGTTTTTAACCACTAGAAATTTGATGCCAGGTAAGACCAAATTTAAATTTTGTGAAAATTTTTCCTCTTTTTTTAATTTTTCTAGCCATTTCTGAATTGCTACAAAGTTCATTCTAGGCAAAAAATAAAATAAAATTTAAATGTTTCATTATTAAAAAATATAATATTATAAATTAAAAAACCATTAAATAGATTATATTAGAGAATTTATGTTAATATGTATATTTACCAATGTACTACATGTTATAGATTTGAATTTTGTGATAAATAAAAGTAATTAAATTATAATTGTGTCAAATAAATTTAATTTAATTTAATTTAATACGATAGTTGAATTGGAGATGAGATAGTTTATAATATTGAACCTTAACTCTTATGTTGAAAAGTGGTTAAATCAGTTGAGGAGAGCATGATAAATGTGAAAAAAAATATGAAAGAAAAATATAAATAAATATGTTAGTAAATTATAAATAAAGATAAATAGAAGAAATTAAGATTTATAAAATGAATACCATCTTACTATATAAAGAAGAGGAAAAAAATCACCATATGAGAGAGTAAGAAGAAAAGAGAGAATTATAAAGAAGAGGAGAAGAAGGAAAAGAGATGGAATAAATAAATGAGGAAGTGATATAGTATTTA